CGCGCTTTCGCTGCAAAGCCATGTGTTTGCGCATGGTTTCGAGGCGCTCGGTCTTGGCGCCCTTGCGAGGTCCGAGGTCCCCACCGGGTGCTGGCACTCGCGCGCGACGACGCGCGCGCGCTCGAAGGTTTGGATGGATTCCCTTGGCAGCGCGCGCGCAGGGGCGCCCGGGCGATTCCGACATGCGCGCGCGAAGCCCGCTTGGTCGCGCGCCATGAAACCGCTGAAAGACATTATTCAGTTATCTTAAGAATTCGCGTTGGCGCGCGCGCGAGTTTTTTCTGATGAGCAGTGCTGCGGAACCACGCGGTTATATACATCTGGGTATATACATATATACACATTACGCTTATACTTTACATATGTATATATACATATATATGTATATATACGGCATCATGTATTGTCACCCTCGCAATTACCATAGTTTTGCAAGGTGTCCGCATGCGCGCGACGTCGCGCGCGCGAGCACTTCGTTTTGTTTCGGTGCCCAAGGGGCCCCTTGAAAACTGATCATGTTTGAAGAACGAGCGCGCGCGTAATTTGTGTGTAAGAGGATGGCGGGGCGGGGGGAGTCGATGCCGTTTTGGCCGGGGTGTTATGAGTTATATCAAGGATGGGCAATGGGGCGCAATCGCGCGTTCATTGCAATAAGAAGGGAGCATTTTTTTGTGGTGCGACGCACCGCCCCGACCGCGAAGTCGCCAAGTCCGCTGCTCGCGCAGTCGCCCCACCCGACCACGCGCTACTTGGTCTGTAAAACCCATGCGGTGCCGATTGCGATGAATGCCGAGCGTTTGCTGGTGCCTCGCCGCGGCCGCGCCAGCGCGCAGGCTGGCGCGCAACGCGACTAGCTGGTCTGACGCGACCCACGCGGCGGCGGTGGCGCTGACTGTTGTCGACTTCGCAGCGCGTCTCGCAGGTCGCGCAGGCGTGTCGGGCGGGCGCGGAGTCATAGCGACGTCGACAATGGCAGACATGATGATTCGTACGACGCTGGTGACGACGATGGCAATAACGACTGCAAGTGCAGTGGCGGCGCGGATGCTGATCACGCCGATGGTGATGATGAGATTCTTTCTTCGGTGATGGAGATTGCGATAAGGATTCCGACATGCGTGCTAACGGAACTCCGCAGGAACGCGCGCGCAGCCTTTTTCTTTGGGGGGACATCATGTGTTCTGATATGTTTCGGGACAGTCGATTTTTACACTCCTACGACCCTACGATACCCGATGTTCAATCTGCGTTGAAGGGTTCTGGCATGCGCGCTCGACCACGCTCGCGTGCACTTCTTTGTGTGTTGGTTTTGTTGTCGATCGGTTTTGTTGTCCTCCAAGGGGTTCTTAACACAACGCGCGCGCAATGTCGTTCGAACGATTTCGACATGCGCGCGCGAGACGCGCGTGTGTCAGCATTTGGTGCCACTTGTTGGAAACTGAGTGTTGTTCATCGGAATTTGCAAGAGCGCGAACCTGCGTTGTGATGCACCATCCTCCTGCGAAACCGATGGTGTTTTGTTTAATTCGGATTTTGAGAGCCGTACGACAACGAAGGTTTTGATGACAAATCGGCGTCAGCGCGCGGCGACGCGCGCGTGTGCACTTCGTCCCATTTGTTGCAAAAACTTTTTGGAAACTTGCGTTTTTTAGATAAGCGAATGCACGGTTTTAGTTTTGGTTCCACAATGTGAGAAGGCGTCGGAAAACCTCTGCCTGGTCTTACGTAGGATCTACGTGGTACAATCCACGCTGTGCAATCGATGGTATGGACAGCGACGCCGATGACATAGCCGCCGGACTGCCACACCGGCTTACACGACGGGCGGCAGCGAGGCGGCGACGAGGCGGCGACGTCGATCACATAGCCGCCAGACCGCCGCACCGGCCCAGACGACGGGCGGCGACAAGGCGGCGACGGGGCGGCCACATAGCCGCCAGAGCGACACACTGGCCTAGACGACAGGCGGTGGCGGGGCGGAAACGGGGCGGCGATGGCGGCCACATAGCCGCCAGAACGGCACACCAACCCAGGTCGTTAGGAACCCCCAATCACCGGCGAACATAGGTCATGGTAGTGAACGAACGCGCAGTTTTAAAACAAGTTATAGGAAAAATGATTTACTAAAACGCGCCCCGGATTTACTAAATTGCGCCGCCGAACCAAAACAAGACCAAACATAATTTTAGTGAACGCAAGAAGCGGTGTCCGAAATTCAAAAACGGATGTTCTAAATCTGGGGCCGTTTTGCTAAATCCAAGATCTTACCATTACCATGACTTGAGTGGTTCGATCACCTGAGTGCAAACACGGCTTGGGGAAATGAGAACTTTTTTCTCGTGGGAGCATTATAATCATATTCTGCGCGTTGCCGATCCATATTTTCTCGTGGTGTCGTGCGTAAGCGCCCTCTTCGCGTGGTGTGCTACGCTGGCGGCCCGCGTAAGCCATCGCGTCAGGTAGCTACGTCAATGTGCGTAAAAATCATAAGACCCATTCCGTTTCGTCGTTCGCGTGGAAACCCGTTTTCGGTGCCGCGCGGTGCACGGAACAGTGTGGGGAGAGTCGAGGGGAGGGGGGGGGGGCGACAAAAATGGAGGTGTAATTCCCCCTTGGGGGATTTGGCGGAACAGCAGGATGAGGAGGAGGACGGGGAGGAGAAGGAGAAAAAACAAGAGGAGGAGGAGGGGGAGGATGAGGAGGGAGGAGGAGGAGGGAGGAGGAGGAGGATGAGGAGGGAGGAGAGAGAGGAGTAGGAGGAAAGATGATGATGATGATGATGATGATGATGATGATGGTGATGGTGATGGTGATGGTGATGGTGATGGTGATGGTGATGGTGATGGTGATGGTGATGGTGATGGTGATGGTGATGGGTGATGGTGATGGTGATGGTGATGTGATGGTGATGGTGATGGTGATGGTGATGGTGATGGTGGTGGTGATGGTGATGATACTGATGATGATGATGAGAGGAGGAGGAGGAGGAGGAGGAGGAGGAGGAGGAGGGGGAGGAGGAGGAGGAGGAGGAGGAGGAGGAGGAGGAGGAGGAGGAGGGAGGAGAGGAGGAGGAGGAGGAGGAGGAGGAGGAGGAGGAGGAGGAGGAGGAGGAGGAGGAGGAGGAGGAGAAGGAGAAGTACGAGGAGGAGGCTGGGGAGGAGGAGGAGGAGGGGGAGGAGGAGGAGGAGAAGGAGAAGGAGGAGGAGGACCAACATTAACCCAACACGTAATATCGATGTTGGAGTAAACCGTCCTTTCAAGTTCTTTTGTTTTCGATTGGCCACTACGAGGGCTCATTTCCACTCTGGGAACTGCTTTGTTCGGAGACAACCGCTTCAAGACCCTGAAGCGAGCCAAGACACAAGTCTCGGGACTCCAACGCGACGAATCTGCATGCTTGTTGCGCCTGAACGATCCATCATCTCGCCATAACACCATTCCTGGGAGTTCACAGCGGATCAACAGAACTGCTGCGCCGTCACACTCCGGAGTCCTTCCAAAACACTATTTCTGTCACGCTGACCATGGAAATATGTGAATCTGTGGCAAATGTGTAAGACGAGTGTGCGCGGCGCTGGGGCGGGAGCCACATGGTGAAAACGATCCGCCCTCAATCCGTGAAATGCAAGTTTTTTTAAGAAAAAAAAACCTGTGTGCGCGGCGTCACGGCGAGAGCTGCAGTTCAAAAACAAAACAATCACCCGCCCTCAATCCGAGAGGCTCTTGCAAACGAGTGCGCGTGGCGCTAAGGCGAGAGCCACATATCGAAAAAGAACTGCCCTCGATCCGTGAAGGCCTTGTGCATGTGTTCCTCAAGCGAACGTGCGCGGCGCTGAGGCGAGAGCCACGTTCTGAGAACCACGCGCCCCCACTCCGCGGCACCCCTGCGTTAGTTGCAACAACGCTATATGTGCGCGGCGCAAAACCTTACCAGCCTGGAACATATCCCTATCCCTATGTTTGACATCACCTCACCTCGATGCCGATCTTGAGGATTCCCTCAGTTTTTGAGGGCCTATCCCTAAGATTGTCCTCGCTTTTCGCTCGCCCATCTTAGGGATAGGGATACGTTCGAGGCTGGTTAAAACCGAGAGCCGGACTTCAAAAGTGGCCCGCCCTCCATCTGCGGAGCTCTCTCTTGCAAAGTGTTCACGGCGCGTGCGCGCGGCGCTGCCAGCGAGAGCCACAGGCTGAGAACCACCGGCCCTCCATCTGCGAAGCTACTGCTTACTTCCTGGCATCGCTCGGACGTGAGCATTTTCTCTCGGCGAGAAGCATCGCGGACCACCCTGGACCGTCTAGCAACAAGAACACCCACGAAACCAAAACATGCACGGGACATGAACGTCCGAGCGATGCCTGGCTTTGTACGCTCAAGGGCCCTGCATCTTGCGGAGACCTCAGGCGAACCGCCCAGCCCGCCTTGTCGACTGCCCTCGGTGCTAAGCAGGGAGGAGTTCTTGATAAGGAGAGGTAATGGAGGTGGCGGAGGAGAATGATGACGATGAGAACGAGGAGGGGGAGGAGGAGGAGGCGGAGGAGGAGAGGAGGGAGGAGGGAGGAGGAGGGGGAGGCGGAGGAGGAGGAAAGAGGGAGAATGAAAAGGGAGGAGGGAAGAGAAAGTAGGGAGGAGGAGGGAGGAGGGAGGAGGGAGGGAGGGAGAGAGGAGAGAGGGAGGGAGGGGAGGGAGGGAGAGAGGGAGGGAGTGAGGGTGGAGGAGGAGGAGGACGATGATGAGGAGGAGGAGGAGGGCGACGACGACGGTCTCCTCGGAGAGCGGATGGGGGCTCTGAGGTGACGTTGTGCCAGACGGGAGAGTCAGGTGGTGCCTGGCATGCAGGTCGTTTTGCCCCACGTTGGCATGCCAGTCCCGGATATTTAGCTCGGCAGGGGTGTTGTGGAACGGGAACGGCGAGGGCGAGGAGCAGGAGGGTGGCGACGACACCGAGCTCGAAGTGGACGAGGAGCAGGACTTATGACTACGACGATGAGCCCGCCAGGCAAGCGGCAAGCTCGTTCTCCAGGATCGATTTCACCGATGGCCCCACGCTGGCTAGCCGCCCGCCCCCGCCGGCCGAGGGGGTTGGGGGGGGAAAGGGGCTGCCACAGACGAACGGTGAGGGCAAGGGCAAGGAGGGGGAAGGGGCGAGGTTCGTGGGCTCGGGGGCTTTCTCAGGCCTCCTGGAGGCGTCTCGTCGCTACGTGAGCATCCGCCTCGAAATTGTTGACACGTCGGGGGCCCCCACCAGCCCATCCAGAAAGGATCCCCAAGCGGGTTGTCTTGATCAGGGAAGCGTAAAAACATGCAGTGGAAAGCAGGGGGAGCCATCACACCGAAGCTCAGGATCAGCCTGGGCAGACCCATGGGTTGAGTTTAATGAAAGGCGGTCGTGGATCTTTCGATCTGGAGACCTTGAAGGCTTGCTGGGTACATTGGGCGTTGTTGGACCGTTCTGGCGCTTTATCGGCCCTTCGTAGAGGGCACTCTTAGATGCGGTCGTGGCCCCTGTCGTAGCTATCTTAGACACCTTGGGAGACGCTTGGGGGGGGTATCTTGGCGGAGGGAGATAAAACAGGCGACGTGAATTTGCAGCGCCGCTCTGGAGGCAGAACAGTCGTCTCTTGGAGCCATGCTGGGACGCTCCTTGGGGGCCTTCTAGGCCGTCTTAGGGCCCTTCTGGGCCTCTCATGGGGCTCTGTTGGGCGATGTTTGAGCCATCTTGGGGTATCCGAAGCTCGTCGGAAGCCAAACGACGATGAGGAACACCACATATATGATTCTAAGCTTTGGGGGTTTGAGCACACCCTTGGGAGGCTGTGAGACCACAGAGGGCTCTGTTGGGGCCGTCTTGTGGTCTCTTCGACACATGATGGAAGCCATCTAGTGTTGTCTCGGACGCCAACCTGTTCACGAAAGCCTGGTTTTTGGAGGGAGGGGCCAAGTTCCCAACGTGAGCGCCGCACGCTGTCTCGCTCGTTCCCACCTGCCCTCCCAGCATGTACGAGCAACCAAGTCGGCACAGTGGAGACCCATGCCAAGAAACACATTGCTTGTCTCCAGGGTGCCCTGGGTTTCTTGGGTTTCGATGCTTTTTTGCGATGGAGAGCGTGACGTTCACACGCCACAAGCATCCGTGGACGTCCTGGGGTCTCCGGGTTGGGTTTCCCGTGGAAGGCTTCTTCTGGACTAGCCTCCACTGCGGTCCCCCCTGCCCTCCCAGCACGTACGGAGCAGCCGAGCCGGTGAAAGGCAGACGTCGCCATCGGATTTGGCAGCCGCAGGGAACCGACATGGGGATGCCGGCCGCGCGACGCTCGCGAGGTGCGCCGCGTGTGCCTGGAGCGCCGCGCGCGCCCCGTGCGCCAGGCGCCCCTCAGGCGCCCGAGCGTGCGTTGCTCCGTGCGCTCAGGCGCCTCCTCCTCCTCCGCTCCTCCTCCTCCCCTCCCTCCTCCTCCTCCCTCCCCTCCCTCCCTCCCTCCCTCCCCTCCCTCCCTCCCTCCTCCTCCTCCTCCTCCTCCTCCTCCTCCTCCTCCTCCTCCTCCTCCTCCTCCTCCGCCTCCTCCTCCTCCGCCGTGCCTCACATGTTTCGGCCGCCGCGTGTGCGCCAGGTGCGCGGCGCGCACGGAGTCGCCAGGTTCCGCCAATTCATGCGACAGAACACGTCGGATGCCTATGTTGGCCCCACAGCATCCCTGTCAAGAACCGCTGCAACGTCGCGGCGTTGAGGTCAGCATGATGTGCTGCGTGTGCGCGCCTGCGGTCCGTTTGCACTCTTGTGTGCGTAGGGGTAGTGGGCCGGCGCGTCGCGGACAGTTGGAATCCGATCCCCGCCATGCCTGCCAAAAGCCAATGCGAATGCTCGCGGGGTTTCAACATACGATCCACGTTTTTTCTGTTGCTACGTCTGTTGCCCCAGACAGCTTGTCTATAAGGGTTCTAAACGAAGTTTTAACGCTTGGTGGGGGAGCCCAGGCTCTCGAAATCGGCGACCCATCGTGGCCCGCCAGTGTGACTCCCTCATCGTGAACTGTGTACGTAGAGCTGTTCAGGGCCTTCTGCCGCACGAGTGCTCTATTTGTGGGCAGGGATGCTGCCTGCAGGGGTGAAGCTGGGGGGGGGCGCAGTCTTTTCCCCTGCGCGCCGCGCTTCCTGGCGGCAGGGTGAACTGCAGACTGGAGCCCGCGCATCTCCTCGGTGCTCAGCGTTGCCCCCCTGGCCCCCCCTCCAACCTTGGGAGCGACGCGCCACCGCCGCCCCCGGTGGTGGGGGTGTGTGTGCGCGGATCGGGGGGCGCGTAGGGGGGGGGGCGATAAAGGGGGGGAGGCAGCGAGGGCTGCAGAGGGGGCCCTCTAGGGCCCCATAAGGGCCTTCAGGGCCCAAAAAGTGCACCTCTCTGCCCCCCCCATGAAGTAACGCCCACGCGGGCAAAGTGCTCGGACTCGCTGCTGCTCCTCTGCGCACTGCCGGCGTGCCCGCGAGCGGGGAGCATGCCCAGATCCACGCCCTGGCGCTGTGCTCTGGGCTCTCCGGCGCGATCCCCGTGGCCTTCCAGATAGGGTTGGAGTAGGTTCGGACGGGGCTGGGACGAGGATCAATCCGTCCAGAGCGTTCCGGAGCGCTCTCAGTGCGTTCCAGAATGCTCTGAGAAGGCCGCGGCACCCGATACATCTTCCATAACCGCCGGATCTCAGAGATTCTCGATTTATCCTCCTCCGATTTGATCCTCGTACTAGCTTCGTCTTATGGGTGGGGTCGTCCTCTAGGACCCCATCCACTCGGACCACATTCGGGAGGCCTCCAGACCCCGCGGAATCGCAGTTGCAAGGACAGGTTCCGTGCGCGGCATCTGCGACAATGCGCACCGTACTGCGTGGGGTCGCGACCTCAGGGCATGGCCTGCCAGGCCGTGGGCGTGGCGCCGCGAGGCGTACGGCCGGCGCATGGCCAGCATTGCGTTCCCGTCCTTCCATCACTCCCAGAAGCGGGCACCTCTCCTTGCTTGTCACCCCGCCCTCTTCCACTGTCTTCTTCCCAAGGTGGGCTCGAGGCTTCCTCCAGGTGGGTGTGAAGCTCCATCAGCGTGCGAGCTCACGTTCAGCTCTGGGTGCTTCCCGTGGTGCATCGGCGGTCTTCGCCGCTCCTGCAGCCATGGGCCTGATCTGCGCCCCCTTGCATGCCTCCCGAACGCAGTTCTGGAGCACGCTCATCGGCTTGATCGTCATGTCCTGGTGCCTGACCCTCTTCCGCTACTGAGGGCGTGGTCGCAGGCTGGGGCCGAGGGGAGGTCCAGTGGGGGGAGGACGTGCGTGCGGCTGGAGGGGCACCTGGGCGTTCCCGAGACCGACGAGGGGGTGCTCAACCCACTGAGGGAGGAGGAGGGGGAGGTCCAGGCTCGGGAAAGAGAGAGGAGGTGGAGCATGGGGGTTGTGGCGTCCATCCGACGAGATGCCCCTGGACGAGCCGTCCTGTGCCCCCGCCCTGGGTCCTGTACGGGTTCCAGGCGGGGGCTCGTCGACGAGGGGGGGAGGGGAGGAGGAGAAGCGGGAGACGAGGCGCTCCGACGGCCAGCTCCCAGCACGGGGCAGCTGCGGGCCAGAGGGCCGCAGGGAGTCTGACAACACACACACGCACACAGGCAGACCACCCACAAGCACAGGCACCCGGACGGGCGCGGCAGCGGGTCAGGTGGCCGCAGGAAGGCAGGGCAGCTGGATCTGCGTTGGCGTGAATGCAAGGGGGGGGGCGGCTGCGGGCCGGGGGCTGGCAACAAGTCACAGCAGGGATGGGCATGGCGGGCCAGTGGCTCGGCCGCACAGGCTTCGGGCGTGGCGTCGGGCAGAGGCCCGGGCGCATGGGGTGCGTGTGTGTGTGTGTGTGTGTGTGTGTGTGTGTGTGTGTGTGTGTGTGTGTGTGTGTGCTGGGCATGGAGCCGCGGTGGCGCCGCGGGGCGACGTCGGCGGTCAGGGCGGAGGGGGGTCTGGCGAGCACGATGGTCAGAGTGTCTGGGAGGGCGTCGGGATGCCGTCGGGCGTGTGGTCAGGAGGGGCAGGGAGGGGTCGCGCCGCCGGCGGCGGAGTCGCCCGCAGCGGGGGATGGCAGGGGCGGTGCCGCCGGCGTCCGCGCCCAGGTCGTGGTTGCCGGCTGGGGCGCGGGCGTGGGGGTCGTGGCGTCGGGGAGATGCCGACGACCAGGGCGGGAGGTTGGGGGAGGCGAAGGGCCAGAGGAGGAAGGGTGGTGTGTGCCGGGCGCAGCGAGGAGGTTCCTGCTCAGCGTGTCTCGCCGCCGGTTCCGGCCCACCAGGCGTCGGCGCGACTCGCCAACCACGTCCTTCATCCCCGGGCGTCAACGTCTCTCAGGAGGGGAAAAAACACACACACACAATTAATCGGCGATTCCCAGAAAATATGCGAAAATATGGGAAGTGGGGGGGAAGACAGAAACCCAGAAAATATGGGAAATATGGGGAATCTTTTTATTTGTGTGTATTTATTTGTGTGTTCTGGGGCCCCTTTAGTCTCGAGCTTTGCACAACCTCCCGCCACGCGGGGCGGAGTACCATGCGGCGCGGCTTGCAGGGCGTGGCGTGTCGCTGGGGCCGCCGCCGCGACGTGCGCAGCGAAAGTTTCCGACCGTGCCTGGCCGTACCCATCTCGTGCTGAGCGCTTAAGCTTTCCCGCCTCGGGCGGCCAGGCTCAGGAGGGGGACAAAAAAACACAGACACGACGAATCGTCGATTCCCAGAAAAATGTGGGAACTTATGGGAAGTGGGGGGGAAGACGAAACTCCAGAACATACAAAAATGGGAATCCTGGCATTTGTGTATTTCTTAGTGTGTCCCTGGGCCCCTTCATAGGCGTATGAAGGGCCTTCACACGGATTGGTCGAATGCCACCGCTTTGTCTGAAGGTGGTGACATTTCACCAGTGATGTTCTGTTCTGTGTCGGCGTACCAGGGCGATAATCGTGAGCGCATTAAATTATGGCAGGCGCCATTGGGCATCGCAGATGAAGAAGCAGGAGTAGACAGGCAAGGTCCCTGATCGTAATAGATGTGAGGCACGGAAGACGGAGGATGGAGCTGGAGGCGAGGGAGGGCGGGCGGGGCACAAAAGCACATGGAAACCGAGTTCCCCATCGTTTGCGCGCATTCCCTCTTTCTTGGAGCCGCCTCGCTCGCTGACGCTTGCGAGCAAGTGCCGGGCCCCCCCTCTCACGCACACACACAAAGGCCATAGAGTGCCCGCTGGTGGGAGAGGCAAAGAGGAGCGTTTGAGGAGGTGGCGCCATTGAAGAGTTTTGGGGATGATAATGAAGGCGTCATGGGGTTTATCGAGAACTGGGGCGGGGCCTTTTCCTTTGCCGGTGCATCCTTGTTCATAGTCGCGCTTGCACGCTCTCTGCACGCACCCCGTTGCCATCCCCTCTTTCTCTCTCTCTCTCTCGATTTCCTTGGGCCTGGACAGCCAAGCTGTGTAACGCCAGATCGTGTCGCTCGACGGTCTCAAGTCAGAAGGTTGTTGTAGGTTCGTGGCAACACTACCCGAACATTTGCCGATGTGGGGTTGGACTGACTTGAACACTGGCACGATGGCAACATGGATCGGCCCAAGATACCAGAGAGGACGATGGAGATGCTGATCGTAATTGTTTCGATCGACCGTCCTTGAAACATCAACGGCGTCAGGGTCTGTACTGAAACATCAATTGATTCAATTCTTCACGCTTCGCGTATCCCCACCAGACCGTTCAGAAACCCTGCCCATGACAGCTGACGGGAAAAGGAACGCAGAGACATTCGGTGAACCAAAGCTCGGCTGATCCATGGAGAAGGGGGCGAGGGACGGAGGAGGAGGAGAAGGAGGATGAAGAGGAGGAGGCAAATCGCCTCTTGGGGCCCTCATGGGACGTGGGACGCTCTTGGGCGCTGGTGGGGCCGTCTTTTGGCCCTCTTGGGCCCTCGTGGGAGCCCCGGAAGGCCTCTTGAGGCAATTTTGGAGGCTATCGATCAAATGAGGGGGGTCCTAAAGTTCTGCCCCCCCCCCTCCCCACCTGGGCCATCAAAATCGCCTGTTGTGGCGCTCTTGGGCCATCTTGGGCCATCTTGAGTTTTCCAGAAGCGCATCGGGAGCGGAAGTGCCAGAAGGCAACATTCATTGATTTTCCGAACGTGGTTGAAGGATGTGGGCCCCTTGGGATCCAGGGGTCCAGGGGACGTTCTGTGAGCATTGGAAACCGTCTCGTGACCCTCGTCGGGCCTTCTGGAGGTATGTCGGACGCTATCTTGAGCCAGCTTCTGCTGTCTTGAGCCACCAGTTTGGAGCATCGGATGCCTTCGCGTTGAGCAATCTTGGGACATCTTGGGCGTTGTGACCGATCGCGGGCTGACCTAGACAACCTCAGGGAGGGGAGGCTGAGGGTACCCCTCCCCGACGGGAAGTGGACGTGCGAGCATGACAGAAGATATCGTTAGACCACCTCAGCCCGAAGGGTTGGTGGGACTATGCGACAGTGTGTTGACCGATCCTGTTATCACGCCCACCTGCTCACACGCTCCGTGCAATTTCAGTTCCCAATGACCGTCTGTGTTAGTGTAATGTTTGTTGTGCTTGTACTTGCATCGTGCGGCATGATCCATTGATTGCGTTTGCTCACACGTTGTTCCTCTCATCTCCCTCTCGATGTAGTTCCACATTCGGCGCAAACTTGCCGCGTCACTCTGTGGTCACGCGCCCGTCGCGCGTTCCGCAATTTATCGAGGGCACATATTGCAGTTTAGGCCCGAGGAGGGCGCCCGCTGTTTCTGCCTGTACGTGCTGCGGTTGTCTTACTTCTGTGTGGAATGTTCATGAGTTGTTCGAACATATGGCGGACCTCTAAATGTTTAAAATGCATGCTGAGGTCTACTTGCCCGTTGCCCCCGTAAGGGCGTCGGCGCGCGGTGGCACTTTAAGAACTCCAAGTAACTTTTTATTCAGAATTCTCGCTGGCACCCCAGACTTCCGAGTTCGTGATCTTGCTACGACGTGGGCCCCCTACAGACCTCGCACCCATCCCCAGGATATTGTCTTGTTTTTTCCCAGCCATCCTGCGTTGGATCCTCGGTTTGAAGAGACAGCGCCCCGCGTTCTTATCCTCCGCCCCCTCCTCCCCCTCCTCCCCCCCTCTCATGCGTGCCTCTGCCCTCCGCGTGTCCATTTCGGCACTCTTCCCTCCGTATGCCCATATCGGCACACACACACACACACACCCTTCACACGGTTCGTGGCCCCATAGGGAGCTCCACCGAAGGCCCCAGTGGCCGCGTTCAGAAGCGTCCACCACGCCCACCGCATGCCCATTTCGGCACACCATTCACACGGTTCGTGGCCCCATAGGGAGTTCAACCCAAGGCACCAGTGGCCACGTTCACATGCGTCCACCCCGTTGCCCCACGGGGAGCTCCACCGAAGGCCCCAGTGGCTGCGTTCACGTGCGTCCACCCTCCCACCGCGTCCAGCACACCCCTCTGACGGTTCGTGACCCCATAGGGAGTTCGACCGAAGGCCCCAGTGACCGTGTTCACGTGCGTCCACCCCGCCCACCGCATGCAAATTTCTGTACACCCCTCGCACGGTTCGTGGCCCCATAGGAGCTCCACCCAATGCCCCAGTGGCCATGTTCGCGTGCGTCCACTTCGCCCGCCGCATGCCCATTTCGGCACACCCCTCTCACGGTTCGGGGCCCCATAGGGAGCTCCACCGAAGGCCTCAGTGGCCGCGTTCACATGCGTCCACCCCGCCCACCCCATGCCCATTTCGGCACACCCCTCACACGGTTCGTGGCCCCATAGGGAGCATGGCGCCCAAGGTCCCAGTGGCAGGGTTCGCATGCGTCCACCCCGCCCACCGCATGTCTATTTTGGCACATCCCTCTCACGGTTCGTGGCCCCAATCCACCCAAGGCCCCAGTTGCCGCGTTCACATGCGTCCACCCCGCCCACCGCGTGCCCATTTCGGCACACTCCCACACGGTTCGTGGCCCCATAGGGAGCTGCACCGAAGGCTCCAGTGGCCGCGTTCACGTGCGTCCAATTTGCCAGCCGCATGCCCATTTCTGCACACCCCTCTGACGGTTCGTGGCCCCATAAGGGAGCTGCACCGAACGCCCCAGTGGCCACGTTCTCATGCGTCCAGCTTGCCCACCGCATGCCCATTTCGGCACACCCCTCTGACGGTTCGTGGCCCCATAGAGAGCTGCACCGAAGGCCCCAGCGGCCGCGTTCACATGCGTCCAGCCGGCCCACCGCATGCCCATTTCGGCACACCCCTCACACGGTTCGTGGCCCCAAAGGGAGCTCCACCCAAGGCCCCAGTGGCCACGTTCGCGTGCGTCCTTTTCGCCCGCCGCATGCCCATTTCGGCACGTCCCTCTCGCGGTTCGTGGCTTCATAGGGAGCTCCACCGAAGGTCTCAGTGGCCGTGTTCACATGCGTCAACCCCGCCCACCACATGCCCTTGTCCGTAACCCCTCACACGGTTCGTGGCCCCATAGGCCATAGGGAGCATGGCGCCCAAAGGCCCCAGTGGCAGGGTTCGCATGCGTCCAACCCGCCCACCTCATGCCCATTTCGGCACACCCCTCACACGGTCCGTGGCCCCATTGGGAGCATGGCGCCCAAGGCCCCAGTGGCCGCGTTCACGTGCGTCCACCCCGCCCACCGCATGCCAATTTCTGTACACCCCTCTCACGGTTCGTGGCCCCAAAGGGAGCTCCACCGAAGGCCCTAGTGGCCACGTTCGCGTGCGTCCACCCCGCCCGCCGCATGCCCCGTCCACGCCGACATTGCGATCTCCTCGGGCCGCACCATTCCGCTGGTGTTGCGCAGTTGGTCTTTCCTCCGCCTCTTTCTCCTCCTCCTTCTCTTTCTCCTTCTCCTTCTTCTCGTCCTTCTCGTCCTCCTCCTCCAGCCCCTCTCCGCAGTTATTCAATCCGAATACCATTCTCAAATTTCCCATGACACTGGGGCGTCGGCCAAAAAACATACCCGTGGTCTTGGATCCTCGTTTGAGGAGAAAGTGGCCCCTCACCCGGATCGTGACCTCATAGGGAGGCCAGTCGAAATGCGGACCCAGAACGCGGTATTCCGAATTGCTTATGGTTGGGTCCTTCGTCCGGACGGTGTGCCGCGGGCCTTTCTCTGGGTGGCCCCAGGCCCGCACGTCGCACGTCGTGACCGTGTTCGCGACGCCGAGCTGTTTGGGCATGGCAGGTCCGTGTTACAGAACCGAACTCTATACACCGACGCTTTTTCGGGCCCCACACTGGAACTCGCACAGGAAAGCGGATCTTGGTGTGTACGGGATCCTGGTGTATTTTTGTTCGTTATTTCCACGGTAAAACGGGTGAACAAATCATACACCACACCACCCCGACGTCGCCCCCGACCCTCAAAGAGTCATGGGATTGCAAAACAGCCCGCCACTGGTAACGTACAGGCTCCAGTTTCCGACGTGCAGCGTCGACGTGGCGGCGACGCCAGCGCGGGCGTCCACGGTTGAGCTTCGCGTGCTGCTTGATGGATGATTGATGTGCAGATGTTCCACCTCCTTGCACTACCATAGGTAGGAGAGTGAGGAGGAGGAGGAGGAGGAAGACGAAGAAGAAGAATACTCAGCAGAAGAAGAAACATAATCAGAATAATAATAAGACGAACACGAATACGAAGAATACTACTACTACTACTAATAATAATAACCGGCATAAAAAGAATGATATTGATAATCATAATACGAATATTAATTGTAAGAATCGTAAGAATAATAATAACAGTAAGAAGACTGATATTAATCAAAATAATACGGTTAAGATGGAGAGTAATAACATTAATAGTAATAATAATATCAATAGTAACAATATTAGTGGGAATAATAATGCGAATAAGAATACTAATAATACGAATGCTAAGAATAATAAGCACACTAATAATAATAATAATAATAATGAGAGAAATAATAATAACAACAATAATAATACGAAGAAGAGGGGGAGGAGGAGGAGGGGGGCGAGGAGAGGAGGAGAACCTCCCCATCCTCCCTTCTTTCCCCGTCCTACATATGTCGAAGAAGGACAGTCGTAAACATAAACTTTTGTCGCTCCGCGCGGATTTCTTGGATCCGCGCCTGGGCCCCCCAGCGGCGCCTCCGGCGCCGCCCCTGGCGCGCGGAGCGCGCCAAGGAGGAGGGTCCAGCGCGAATCCAAGAAATCCGCGCGGAGCGTCAAAAGTTAATGTTTATGTGTTTTTTCTTGTAATCAGGAGGGAGCAATCCGCGCTGTCGGACAGCATCCACGCGATGCCAGAGACCAACGCCGTGCCATCCCAGGACGCCTCCAGGGCCATCCTGGGGCTCCCCAATCCGAGGCGGGAATTTATACATGACCACAATCTGGAGGGCCAGTTTTCGGA